TCTGCTGAGCAGCACTAAAATGTAACTACTCATTTAACTTCATTTTCAATACAGAGTTTTGCCTTGGGAATTTTAACAGAAACTGCCTCAATCAAAAAGACTTTTCCTTTTTTTCCCCTCACCCCTAAGCTGCAAAAAAAGCTGTACACTGGAAAACAGACATCATGCCCAGGGCTTCACACCAAACAGTGGGATGTTAAAACATCTTACCCCAGGCTACCTTCTCCCTCCCCTCTTTGTAATCCACATAAGGAAATAGAATTCAAGGAAGAACAATTAAAAGGTTTGTTACATTCATGGAAACAGCAAATGACTGTTGGGGGTTGACATCAGCAATTCTTGCAACTGGCTAATAAGAGTTACATGTGATGCAAGGCCTGAAGACAGAAACAAGGGGGAGGACTCAGGAGAGCTCTGAAATTGCTACTGAAGGTGTCAGCAGAAGGCTCTGAAAATTTTTAGGCAGTTGACACGGTTATGGATGGGGGGGATGCAACAAACCAGGACAGTCCTGCTGGGCAGACTGTATGGAGACAGCCACAAGCCAACAACCGACCAGGGAGGAGATTCTTGCAGTTCTACAGCCAAAATAAGAGATTTGGGAGCAACCAAGAGGAGCTCTTCCAACTCCCATTCCCTTGGCGGATTTCTGACTGAGTCTAAGCACTCTTTCCTAAAGGAAGTTTCCTTTCCTCAAGCAATGTAATGGTTTGAGACCAACACTTGATCTCACGAAGCAGCTCTTCCTTTTCATACAAAAAAACCAGGGCATTTGATACTTTTTTACAAATTCTATATAAAACTTATTTCATTATAAACTGATATGAAAAGGCAAATATTTCAAATTTAGTCCTGGACTAACTCTAATCCACATTATAAAAAAAAAAAAAAAAAAATGAAGCCAGGATACCTTATGTTCACTAAATCCTGTTTATATACCATATATACACCTGAACCTACTTGGCAGGGTCAGGGAACAGTCTATGATCCATGAACCCAGGACACACACAGTTATTTTTACCTTGCCTCAGCCACACCCCTGTGTGATCCTCACCGTAGCAGAGGCTGCATCTGCACTGGGAATTTTCTCTTAAAATTCATTTGCTAAAAAGCAGCTTTGCACTTTTTTGAAAGAGTGGAAAACTGATTCCACGTGGATCAGTAATGAGAGCAGTAATTGCCACGGGGCTGACAAGAATTTATGCAGAAGTTCTCAATTGTTTCTAATGGCCTGTCAGACAGCGAAAGGGAATGCAAAGCAGATCATAAAATAAACTCCAGTTCTAAGAACAACATTCTTGAAACTTTCACTCTTGCTAAGAAATATGAAAATATAAAAGAGCTAAAGCAGTTTCTGGAGAAGCAATAAAACTGCACTATTACCCAGTGATTCCTTCAGATCAGATTTTGTGATTGCACCAGAAAATGAAATCGTGTTTTCCAGGATTTTACATCCATATCATAAATGAAGAATTGCAGTAGAACAGAAACTTCACCAGCAGGTTATTACTCCTCCAGTTCAGGTTGGTTGAGCAATATCGCAACTGATACTTCAAAACCACAGAAATGACAACTGTTTCCACCAGTGTAAACTGAGTGTGACCAGGGCACAATAATCTACTTACTGTCCCCAAGATAACACCAGACTGTGTTGTAGATGCTTGGAAATGCAATTATGCTACAGTTGAAGGACTTAAATTTGGGGATGTTTGAACATTAATAGCTGAAAATGGGAAATAATGACTAATCTAAGAAATACAGATGGAAAATGAACTTGTGAGCTCGTAGCTGCCATTTATACAGCAAAATGCACTCAGTACATGAATGAGACTATTCCCTTGCACAAGGTTCCTGAAGCAGTTCATGCATTCCAATATTTTTGGATGTGTAGATTTTATAATGTATTCCTCCTTCACAAGCATCAGGACAGACATATTTTGCACTTAAACTGCAGAAAACAGTTAAATGCTAATTCTGTTACTGCATCGAAAATTACAAGCAGTTTTCAAGAGCTCAAAAAGAAAGAGTTATATTAATTCTAGAGAATAAATGTGACTTTAACTTATTATACTAACTAGTAAGGTCACTGGCAGAGAAAAGCTGAGGATATGGGAAAGGCAGATATAAATATATTAGATATAAAGGCAGTGTACACTAAGTCAAAAAAATACTCAAAGTGGTGTTTCCCTGCCAGTGTGTCTTCCCAGCACTGTGTCTCTTATTTTCATCCCTTAATCCTACAAAGACAGACTGTCACTTTAGGTGGTCACAGCTTTCCAAGTTAGCCCTAAACTGGTGAGCTCAGATCATGAACAGTGATGATTAAACAAATTAGTGGGGAAAGAATAGTCTTGCTGACTCATTTTCAAAATGAAAATTAATATAATTTAAAAAAAAAAAAATTAAAAACTTAGAATTTGGAAGAGGAGGCACCTTATATGCTGCAAAATAACCACGCACCAAAAAATAGCATCTCGTTGCCCAAAGGAGACTTTCTGTTGAGCTGTAGACAAACTTGCCTGTCACAAGCCCTGTATTTGATGTTGCCATCAATCAGCAAAATGAAATACTGACAACTTTCAGGGAGAGGAAATTAAAAAAAAAAAATATTAAGGATCATCTAGAGAGAGAAATTCTTTCCAGGGAAGCTGACCATCACCTGGTGAGCCCATGGACCACCTTCAGCAGCTGTGGGCAGGCACCACAACCCATCCACGCTGCTCTCAGGGGGGGATCCAGGGGGAATCCGGCACCAGGAATCAGCACTGCCTCTCACCTGCTCCCCCAGAGCACCATCGAGGGCCTGGACAGCACAACTACTGAGCTCATCCAGAAACTGCTGGAGAAACTTCTAAAGAAGAGAGTGGAGGAGTTGGACAAGATCATGAGTAGAGAGTTAGCAAGACATGCCAGCTCCCCCTCCTAACATCAGGTTGTGCTTCCAAAAGTAAATATACCCTTTCCAAGAAAAAACATAACCCTTGTAAATAAATGTACATTTCAGCGAAAAATTTTCATCCTGGGAAGAGTCAGAAAAGAAAAATACAGGTTTTTCAGGCTTCCCAGAGGGACATTCGTCACTTCTTCCAGTCACTGGGTAGGGATTTCATATTACCTGTATTGGATTCTGTAACTGGTTACTGAAGGGGGATGCAAAACCATCAAATCCATTTCAAGTGTAATTACTCCCCACTTTATAGAGGCAAAAATCAAGCTTAATATGTCCATTTTCCAATGTTTAGGACTCTTAAAAAGGATATCTACCAATAAACCAAAGGTCTCCTTGGCAGCAGTTTATGATATACTAATTTTAAAAGGAAAAGAGAATTATTTACACAACTGCTCAAATAAAGACTACCAAAAATGTAGAGGACCTTTACAATATGTTCAAAAAGCTGCATTACAAGATATTCGCTGACTTGATTTATTTTCCTTGTGTAAATCAGGGCAAAACCTTCCAGGAAAACAATCCTAAAAACCTAGGGAAAACAGCGTCCAGTGAATAAAATACTGTGCTGTGGGAAAACACAAACATATTTTCCCAGGCTGTGCTACTGAGCTTTTCAGACTATCCCAGAATCTCAGCTGTGTCATACCTCCCCAAGGGAAAAGAAACATTTTAAGTGCAGGATCAAAATAATAACAATTTAAAAAAAGAAAAAAAATAAATTGTCTGATGACACATCTCCTCTCTTGCTAAAATCCTATTTTTTACATTCCTTTCCCAGCAAATAAAATAAAATATGAGGGTACTCTACATTCGTGTCTGGGGGGAAAAAAAAAAAAAAGCTTAAACTAAATAATAATTTTGTGGAGTGTCATTCATTGTTTATATTGTCCCCAAAGTATTCCACCATGGCCAGCTATATGAGGCAACAGCAATAAATAACATTTTCCTAGATTAAAAAAAACCAAATGTCTCCCTTATCTTTTCCTGCTCAAACTGAACACCTGCTGAATCAATAGTCACAGATTCAAAAACTCAGTGAGAAAGCAATAAAAAGATTCCCAATTCTATATAAAGGATTAAAGGACCATAACCACAACCCAAGAGCTGTGCATGGCTATATGTGCTCCTTCTGCTGGTGAATGGAAAAGGAAGAAGGAAGGGGCTTCAAGGAAAGCAGCCAAAGGAAACTGCAGCAAATGTAAAAAGCATTTCAAGGCTATATTTAGAGGAAGACATTCTTCCTGCATTTGCCAAGCTGTTCACGTCATTTCACGCAGCATGTTTTATCCAGCTTTATAAGTCTGGGAGAGAGCAGGAGGGGGACAAAAAAAAAAAAAAAAAAGAAAAAAAAAAATCTGGATCAGCTGCCAGAAATGGAAATCTTGCATTTATGGAGATGGACGAGTATTTTAAGCATGTGAATTCAAGAGTACTTTCCAAAGGGGGGGAAAAGGGGGAGAAGAAAGGAGGGGGGCCAGGCAGGGTGTTAAAGCTTTGCCCAGACATCACAGAAGGACTCTGCAGAAAATGGTTTAGCGGTAACATGAGTTTGCCTCCAAAACTCCCTTTTGAGCCAGGCTCACAAGCCTCAGCTCCATCACTAAAAATACTAAAATGTGTGAATTTCGCTAAATTGGAGTCTTCAGCTGCTCTAAACTAGACTTGTCCATGTTCCCGTGGATTGGAGACATCAGTTACATAAGCAATTACATATTTCTCCTGTATAATGTGATAAACAACCCCTCAAGATGAATGAAATAAACACCAAACACACAGGGGTGGAAACAGTAACAAAAATAAGATAAGAATATTATGATTTTTTTCTTAGCATATGTCACAAGGAGCAGGATTTGCAAAAAAATAAAGAAATGTCAGGGTACCAAAAAAAACATGTCAGTACCAGATGTAACGGTATCAGGAACAAGCCACATGGAAATTTCCTGTTAGTGACCTTCTGGAGAGTGTTGATGGAACTGATTTGAGATAGAGATTGATTTAAGGACTGGCTTTACTTAAACTTACACAGATGACTTCTATAAAAAGTTCTTACCTTCATTCCCTTCTCCAGGTGGCTGATAAAACGAAAGCCCCAGAGATATGATGGCTGCAATTTCCAAGATTATAAGAGTCACATCCTGCAACGCTTCCCAGACTAGCTGTATGAATGTTTTTGGCTTCTTTGGAGGTATAAAATTTTTTCCAAAAATAAGCTTTCTTTTTTCTAGGTCCGCAGCAGTGCCGGCTAATCCTGTAAATAAAAGAAAAGAAAAGAAAATTAAATTCATATCGCAGTGAAACAGCAAACACCCACTTGTATCTGCATTCCTATAAATTACTTCTTTAAGGAAAGCTACAAATTGTGTCACCTATGGCATATCAACAAACAGGTAGATATTCCACTTAAGTTTTGCTTTTGCAAGATGATTTGTCTTTATGTTCTGAACAGAATTCTTATGGGCTCTTTTTAATACAAATTCCCACGAGGTTTATTCATTAAAAAGTCTTTGAATTAGGAGATTTACTTTAATAAGACCTATGTACATAGATACATATGCACATGTAAGCAGTGACTACTGAAAATAGATCATAAAGCACAAATAAATGATTTTTGGGATGAAGCTGGAATAGCTGTTGGCAGTTTTTGGAAATACCAGTAGAAGCTGATACTTTGTTCTGAATGTAGATCGATGAACTCAAAGTATAAATCAGTAAAACACATCTTGTGCTGCTTCAAAGCAACCTCTCTGGCTGCATATGGGCTGCAACTCAGCACTGGAATGAACTGAACCCCATTTCTGTCACGTGAAAAAAGACAAAATGACAGGTTCTATATGCACAGACAGGGAAAAATGAATGGTATGGTTGCTTAAACTGATATAAAAATGCACATATTTTGAATGATGCTTCAATTTAAGATAATTTCAACTTAAGGAATGAGTGGTTGTGCTGAACAATCCACTTGGTGTTTGTTTCTTTTTTTTCTATTTTTTTAATTACATTAAAGTATGAACATCTAGTGATCTTCCAGAAAAAAAAACCAAAACACAACACAAAAAAAAAAGGGGAAAAACAAAACAAAACACCAATTTTCAAGCATCAGGGTTTAATAACTAAGTCCATATATCTGTCTCATCAGTATAAAAAACTGCAATAAGTGTTACATATATCTGCCAAATAATACCTGATATCATAGAATTTTTAAGTTGGAAAAAACCTTTAAGATCATCAAATCCAACTGTTAACCCAACACTGCCAAAACCACCACTATCACAGGTCTTTTAAATCCCTCCAGGGATGGTGACTCCACCACCTCCCTGGGCAGCCTCTTCCAGTATTGGACTACCCTTTCCTTGAAGAAATTTTTGCTAATATTGAATTTAAACCTCCCAGGGTGTAACTTTGGGCCATTTGCTCTTGTCCCATTGCTTGTTGTCTGGGAGAAGAGACCGACCCAGCTGGAACATTGACAAAACTACAGGTTTTGAATAGAAATGTAAAGTTGTTTATGTTTATGTTTATTCACCCTTTCATGACACCTGGAAAACACTGAAGGTCAGGGCTCGTCTCAGAGGAGCACAAAGGTGCCTGTGGGAGAACAGGAGCAAACCATGGACCCCACACTGCAAGGATTCTTTAACTCAGGCAGGTCAGGATGAATCCTTGCCTGTCCCACAGCCCATCACCACCCACGGGGTACATCAGGAATGGGAAGCCCTGGAAACATCACCTTCAAGACATCAGGGAGCACCAACCAGGCTCCTGAAGTGCTGAGAGTGGCCCAGGACTGGCCCCCAGCAGTGTCCCTGTGCTGGTCAGTCCCCTCTCAGGTGACAGCACTGGGCCCAAGCAGCATTTCTGCAAGATGAAAGTGATGCTTTTCCAAACATATCAGTCCTGCCACTGCCCAGGCAGATAGTGACTCACCTTTCACTCCAGGTGTATAATTACAGCTGCTGGGTAGCTTCTGGCTCTTGGTTAACTCATCAAACTTTCATTTTACCTTCAGCTTCTAAGAAACACAACCCTTCTCCCCCAGATAAAGGCACGCTGTAGTTATTATTACCTCACTTCATTTAATTTTCAGTACCTAGTGCTCAGTGACACTGTGACAGCCTCCAGCCGTCATGAAATGTGCCTGTGTTATCTCCCACGATTCAAACAACAGCATGCCAAACCTCTCCACTCCTCTGAGAGCTGCCAGTCAGCTTCCAAGGCAGGGTAAACCCTTTTCCCTGAGCCATGGGATAGCTGCCTTCTGATGACCCAACACAGGTCACAGTAGTCAGGGCAGCACAGGGGAGAGAGCAGGGCAGTCACTCAGTGCTGATGAGATCTGATGAAGGGACAAGTCTTCAGCAAAAAACAAACAAGTGCAGTCTGATCAGCTTGTAGAGGCCTGTAAAGCCTCTCAATGCAAGGAAGGATTTTCACTGAAAGTCAAAGAATCATAGAATCATTAAGGTTGGGATAGACCTCTAAGATAATTGGATCTGACCATTAACCCGACACTGCCAAATCCACCACGAAACCACGACCCCAGGCATCATGTCAGCAATTTTTTTAATGCTTCCAGGGATGGTGACTCCACACCACTTCCCTGGGGAGCCTGTTCTAGTGCTTGACAGATCTTTCGGTGAAGAAATTTTCCCTAAAATCCAACATGAACTTCCCCTGGTGCAACTTGAGGCCGTTTCTTCTTGTCCTGTCCCTTGTTCCCTGGGAGCAGGGTTTGACCCTCCCCCTGGCTCTACCCTCTAATCAGGGAGTTGTAGAGCATGAGAAGGTCCCTGCTGAGCCTCCTTTTCTCCAGGTTGAGCCCCACCAGCTCCCTCAGCCACTTCTCACACGACCTGGAAAAAGGGCACACACAATTTGCATCGTGCCCCAAAACACAACCTGCTCCTACACAGAGCTGACTTCATCCCTCAAGAAAAATTCCATGGGCAGCCTTGACAGCTGTGGGGGCAGCAATTTTCATCTCGTGCATCTTCAAGCAGCGACACAAAACCCCGAACCAGAAGGAACTGGTAAAGCACATTTGAGAATGGGAGGAAGAGGGGAAAAGGCCTGTTTTCCACCACAGAACATATGTGCTCAGTGGTGGGCCAGCTCCAGCAGGTCAGCACGTGCCTGGGGACTCACCAGCATGGAAGGGAGGGCTGGAACGGTACAGGAAAACATTGCTCCAGCATTTTTCAACAACCCTCATCACATTTAGCGAGACATGATGAATTCATGACTTTGATGTTATGCCTTATACCTCACTGTCAGGAGGGGTTGCAAAGCACACATCTCCTGTCCCGTGTTTGCAAGGCCTGTATAAACACACCTACATCTTGAGAAGCCTCCACAGCAAAAGAGAGGCACTGGAACTCAAATTGCTGCTTTTTCTCTGAGACAAAAATTCTTCTTTCAGGCACCATAAGGCTGAGGATTAAACTGAGTTTAAAGTATCCATGGTAATCATTTTCCAGACTATAGTCCTCGTAACCCATCTTGGAATTCAGACATAAATTTTACTTTACTCTTTCATTTTTTCTAATAAATATTATCTCTCTTAGGAACCACAAATTGACAGGAGTAAATTATTCATGTGATTTTACTCTTTTCTGTAAGTCTATGTCTTGGGGAAATTACCCCAACTCTTGTAAAAAACAGAGTATATTCATCTTTAATAATGAAATTTATCTCCTTGTAAATCATTTACAAATCCTAGAAAACTAAATTCAAGGTTCAGTTCAAACCAAGCACTTTCCCTTCTCCAGAGGCCTGGCCAACACTCAAAATCCCATTCAGCAAAATTTTGAGGCTTTTTTTTTTTTTTTTTTTAATCCCACTGAAAGCCAGAAACAAACTCCCAAATTGAGAGAGAGAAAGAGAAAGGAAAGGGGAGAATGAAGAAATCTACAGACCATGTGATGAAATCAGATCATAACATAATCAAAGTATTATTGTAGAGACAGGGTCAGAAAGGGACAGAATCACAGAAGGTCCTGAGGTGGGACACACAAGGGTCATCGAGTCCAACTCCTGGCACTGCGCAGACACCCCAACAATCCCACCCTGTCCTTGAGAGCATTGTCCAACCCCTCCTGCAGCTCTGGCAGCCTTGGGGCTGTGCCCACTGCCCTGGGGAGCCTGTTCAGTGCCAACCACCCTCTGGGGGAAGAACCTTGCCCTGAGATCCACCCTGAGCCTGCCCTGACACAGCTCCAGCCATTCCCTGGGGGCTGTCCCTGCTCCCCCCAGAGCAGAGCTCAGTCCTGTCCCTCCTCCTCCCCTCCAGGGGGGACAAAGTTACACAGGGAGATGCAGCTCCTGAAAATGGGACTGAGCATCTGAGGCAACGTGAGATGTTCATTTTGAAAAACCTCCATAAATTCACATTGTTAGTGCTGACAGAACACACAAGGGGAGCATTCTTTATCTTTTCCACGTATTTATTCTGAAACGTGAAACAGTCCTAAAGGTGCTCTGAGCAAGCCTGAGTTGTTGGGGAGGATTAGAGGTGGCTGGGGCTGCCCGTGGCCCTGGCAGAGCTGTGGGAGCTGCTCCGACAGGCACCACAGATGGCAAACACGTCAATTAGCACAGCAAGGGCTGGACAGGGACATCTGTCCTCACCAGTACTGTGGACCAGGAGATGGCCTTCCTGCTGCTAGACTGGTTTATGTTGGTTTTTTCTCAGATTGCACACACTGACTTCATCACTTTCCCTGAATATTGTATTTTTACTTCTCGCTTGCCCCAGGAGTCCTGTGACAATGAGAGCATTGCAAATAAAAGTAAATGAAAATATCATGATATAGAACATCTAAGGGAGTGAAAAAAAACCAATGAGGACTAAAAAACATGAATGGAAATACCAGTTCAATATGACTTCAGATTTATCACGTTACTGGCACAAGCATCAGCCTGTGCCAGTCTTATGTTCTGTATGACCCATCTTATATTCTTTATGACAATAAGTCACAGACTGGCTGGATTTATGTTCATTTCTCCACACAAGCAGACATATTTTATTTTTCAAGTACTTTTCTAGGTCAAAGCTGTGCAATATTACTTGATCGAAGTGTTTTACAATGAATGTGCAGATTTGGGTTAAATTTATATACAAATACTATACACACATTCAAGAAATACTGTGAAAATTTATTATTGATGCTTCTAGCACCTGAGTAATTTCTTAAGGTTTCAGTTTCCAAAACTTTTCCCCAAATTTTATTTGAAATTTGTGGTCAAATGAAA